GCGGCGCCCCGGTTCCCGCGCAGTCTAGTCCGGCCGCCCGGGCCTCTCCCTTGCCTTCCTGCCTGCCTTCCTGCCGCGGCCAAGAGCACAGGTGAGTCTCCCTTTCTCAGGGCGGGGCTAGCGCCGGGCATCTCCAAGTAAGGTTTGCAACTAGCGCTGGGCAGGGTGGTGGTGGACACGGAGTGCTGGAACTTAAACCAACCAAAAATAAGAAAGAAAGAGAAAAGAAACGGTCCGCAGATGCCCGGGAGGGGTAGGCGCTCCTGTGCCCCAGACCCTAGAAATGCTGCTGCGTCCTTGTCCCCAGGGTCCAGCCCCTCTCGCGCCCAGTGTCTTCTCTGGCAGCTCTGGGGTGGTGTCTTGGAAAACAAAACCAAGAAAATTGTTCTTTCCTCTCCACCAGCAATTTTCTCCTAACAACTGTTTGACTTTTTGAAAAGCTGACAAGGCCGAACCTGCTCCTAAAGGCAGGAAAGGTGCAATCGGTAAAACATAGGCCGCCACAAGTTGAAAGCCCGTCTTTCTCTCTCGCTCCTCCTCCCCCAGTGCTGCACGGAAAACCGTCGCATTACTTACTCGCAGACTTCTTGAAACTTGTCTGTCTGCTTCCATCCACTGCCTGGACCAGTAGAGCAGTGGTGCTGTGTTTTCAGGTTGCTTCGTTCCAGCCTTCGTGCAAAATCTGATCATCTCCTTCAGGGATTAGGTAGGAGCTTAGTGTAGATCCGTGTTTCAGATATAAACCAGGATAATTTAGAGTGATGTTTTAGTGTAGTGCTCAAAGCCAAGAATATTCTCTCCCCCTTATTGAAAAAATTACCTAGCACACCACATGGATTTGCACTTTTCATAGAACTCGGCATTTGGTAAGAGAAGCAACTGACATTTGTAGCTGTGATTACATCTGATTTAAAATAATTTATTTTAAGACTCATTAGCTCTGGTTCTATATATTATTGTAAATTATAAAAACACAATATTGAGACTGAAGATACAGATGTTTGTGCGTGATGCAGATTTGTATTTTTTTAGTGGGGGTTTTGTATTAGTATTCTAGATGCACGAACACAATGAAAGGCCTGAAAACCAAGAACACTTTCTTTAGCCATGCCATCGGCTTTTTGTTTTACTGCATTGGCAACGCTTTTCTTTTCTTTCTTGGCTTGGGAAGAGATTTCATTGCTTTTAGGGAAAACAAGATTTTTCCCACTGTTGAATTGTAATATTTGTAATGCTTTTGAACATGTGGATGTTAAGGGTTACAAATGAGAACAAATTGTGCGTGATTCTAAAGGATTTGTTGGTCGAAAGACTTATGCCAAACATCATGAAAAATAGTGTGATTTGGAAATCCAATAGGCTGAAGCTTGTGAAATAATGGAAGCTGTAAAGTTCAATATCATTTGTTGTTTAGATCCAAAAAAAAAAACCCCACAAAAGGTGGAGGTCAGACAGTAGATCTCTACTTTCCCCCTAGAATGTAGAGGTTATAGTGAGGGAAAATGAATTATATACAGCAGAACAAATAACATCAGTCTTTTATATCTCTATTTCAATTATGCTTTAAAACTTATTATTTTCATATGTTCTGACAGTTGATTTCTGTTGTTTGTTTCTCTTCTTTACGCTAACAAATACCACTATTCCTGGTGACCTTCAATGATTATAACAGGACCAAGTCTAGATTATGAAAAGAGGGCATAGGTCATTGAAACACTACACACAAAAATCTAATTTTCACCTATTTTACTTGACAGTTGCACCAAAAATATTTTTACCACAGCTACTAAAAAGTAGTAAAATTCTATAAGTGGTGAATGAGGAGGGAGTAAAAGAGAGGCTTGTATGATAGCCATTCAGAACCTCCACATTGGCAATCCTGAGGGTTTTTTTAAAAGAAATTTAATCTAAATTTATCATTTTGAAAAATTTAAAAGGAATTTAGTAGTTCAACAGCATCCATGAATATTTTCCTTACTTTATTTTTATTTTTTTATTTTTAAAAAGATTTTATTGGGGAATTGGGGGAGGGGAACAGTGTTGGGGAATTGGGGAAGGGGACCAGCCAAGCTGTTGCTCCTCAGACTTCATTGTGGAGGGCACCAGTCGCCGTCTGGCTTCCCGTCGGCAGCTTGTGGCCTCTAAGCTCAAAGTGCTGTGTTGAATCTTAGTTATGGGTTGGCATAGCCACCATCCCATGCGGGAATCGAACCAGCAGCCTTGTTATTAAGAGTGCACACTCTACCCACTGAGCCACCTGGCCGGCAGCTCAGCTCAAGGTGCTGAGTTCAGTCTTAGTTGTGGGTGGGCATAGCTTACCATCTAGCAGGCAGTCTTGTTATTACACCAGCTGAGCCATCCTGCCACCTGTTGGCAGCTCAGCTACAGCTCCGTTCAGGTGCAGCGTCACTGGCCCATGTGGTAATCGAACCGGCGGCCCTGTTGCTCAGAGCTCGAGCTCTTAAGCCAACTCTTAACCACTCGGCCGGCCCTTTCCTTACTTTATATATGAGAGAACAAACAAAACAAAAAGCCAGGTGACTTTTCCAAGTTTATTCAGCAGCTGAAAGTGGGGTACTTGTTTGCTCCCAGTATTGTTCAGTAGCATCTTGAACACATCCAAAAATAGCAAGTGCACCTAGCTGAGGTGTTTTAAATGTTCACCAACTTGAGACGCATACTATTTTGAAAACTTTTTTTTTTTTTTAATATCCTGGAGGAGGAGGAATTTACCTTTTCTCATCAAAACTTAAAATGCAAAGTCAAATCCTTGTGCTTGACATTTTGGCTTGATGGATTCCGTTTGTCACAAGGCTTGTTGTGGCAGAGCAGATGGTCATGCTACTTAGAGTTTTCCACTCATTGCATGTTTCCATGAAGAAGCAATTTGCCAGAAGCCAGCCACAGCTACAATTGCGCTGGAGATGATGCTGAACCCTGATTAGCACAGACCTTTGCTTACAGAAGCTGGAGGATATTAGCCCAACCGTTTCTGTTGAACCAGTCAGCATTTCCCTTGGTTAATAAATAGAGGGGCAGTTGAGTCTTGTAATAGTAGGAGTTGGGGCAGAGTTAGCAGCAAATCCAGTAATAACAGCATAGAAACAATATACTTTTGTAATTTTTTTCTAAATAAAACCAAGCTACTTGTAAGTATCAGCTGAGTTATCCTATAAGATGATTTCTTTACACATGTGCTAGGGTTGTCATTTCTACTGGCTGACTTTAATCATATCTCTTTCTATTCAAATCCAACTGCATGTATAATGTTAGTAAACTATGAAATGGTTGACAGCATTGACTTAAGCTATAGCAAAAAAATCTCATGAAAAAACTGAATGAACAAGCAAAATAAACAGGAAAAAAAAATCAAAACCCAAAACACCTTATGGCTTGCCCTTAGCAAGAGAACCATCATCTGAAAGATAATGTCTCCAATACTGTGTGGACTGAATTACAACATACAATTCTGTGAGGCCCATAAAAAAGGCACCGTGGCCTTTTTCAGCTAGTTCTGTTTTTAAATCTTTAAATGTTTTCATACAAGAGTCATATTGCTACTGCCAGGGGTTGGTCTGGACCTGGTTTTATTGATAGGTTTGTGAGTGAACAGTTTTCTTGAAATGATACAGTGTTAGTTTTATTTTTGTAGCCATTTTGTGGCTTGAAACTAGATCATTTGGATATATGTTTTTCTCATTTTATTGTTTTATTATTAGTTCCATCGAGGTTTGTGATATTATTGGGGTCCTTTTCAACCCAACAATGTATTTACATAGATTGTGTGTATGTAAAAATAATTATTGAGCACCCAACTATGCATAGCATTATTCTGAGCACTTAGCATGTGTTCTATCATTCAATCTTAATATCCAAGGATTATTATTATTATCCCCATTTTATAGTTGAAGAAACAAAAGGGAGGCAAAGTAATTTACCTAACAGAGTACTGGGAGAGCCAGAGTGTATGAGTAAATTTAGAAAAGTCTGGTTATGGAGCCTGATACAGGCCTGATGGGATATACTTAAAGATGGTTCACACTTGTTTGCAGCTACTATAGTATTTCATGCATCCATCTTTTTAAAGTGTACCAAATATACAGTAATGTATATGTGAAGAAAATGTGGCAAGACTATGCAGATGATTGAACTGTCTTGGGACAGAAGGCAAATAATTTAACAACAATCTAAAAAATAAATAAATAAATAAAATAAAAAACTGAAGAAAAAATGGTCATAAGGGACATTATTGGGGTAACTGACAAAATTTGAATATAGACTCTGATTTAGATAATAGTATTATATCAATTTTAAATTTCCTGGTTTTGATCATTGTACTGTGGTTTATGTTAGAAAATGATCTTGTTCTTACACACTGACGTATTTGGGAGTAAAGGAGGCACACTCATCTGACTTAGTGATTCAGGGGGAAAGTGTATAGTGTATGTATAAAAATAGAGAGTGATTTTTAAAATGGGCAAAAATGTAAGTCATTGGTAAGTCTGGGTAAAGAATATACAGGAATTCCTTATACTACTCTTATAACTTCTCTGCTTGAAATTATGTCACCCCCCCAAAAAAAGTTACCCAAAAATGAAGGTAGAAAACAGGAAATGAAGGTGTAACATTCTAAGAATTTTTTTTTAAGTCAGGTATAGGATTGTTTCCTGTGCTCTGATTTTTTTTTTCCTTTTTTCTTTTTTAGGGGTTGGAGGAAGGAACTTGAAACAAACAAAACATCTTATCAAAAATAGCTTGACTTTCTCAAATTTCAAAATCTAGCCATTTAGAACTCCCCAATTCTCCAACCTATAAAAAACCAGGCACAGTATTTTCCTCACCTCTTTTTAATGGTTTGGGGGTGGGGGAGATTAAAGACATTCGTGCCTCTAAGAGATAAGATACAAAGATGATGCACTTTTAGTGATACTGAAAGTTAAATTGGATTGGTTATATCATTTCCCGGCCTGAAAACCTTCAATGACATGCTGATATTTACTGGCCTTTATGTCAGAACTCTGTAACCTTGTTTTTTCAAGCAGCCTGGCCCATACCTACCTTTCTGTCTGGCTTTGTCTCATGTCACCACCCCAAAGACGGTACATTCTCGCCACACCAGACCCCATGATCTTCCTGCATGCTGATCTGCCTTTGTCCATGAACGGGAGGCTTTGCTTGGGATGCACTCTATTCTTTTCCTGCTGACATTCTGCTCATCCTGTAAGTCTCATCATAACCTCCTTTGGAAAGCTGTCACTAATTTCATGCAAAATTAAATTTTCCTTTGTCTTTGCTGCTATATCAGTGGTGTGAACACAGTGCTATCTGTGTTCATTCAGCAGTCCTTATTAAGCAGTTACTGTGAGCTAGAGGCTGTGCAGGGACTGGGGATTCAAAGGCACTCACAGTCTGGTAGCTGGGAGTGGTTTGTAAACAAATCATCATAAGATAAGTATGACAGAAATGAACAAAATACTAGGAGAACTGCGAACTCTACCTGACAACTTATCTTAAAGAAAAAGTCTTACAATGAAAGCCACAGTGAGATACCATTTTTCCCTCCCCAGGTCCCTTTCCAGATAAGAGATTTCCAGCACAATAATCTAATTAAATGAAGAAGTTTAAAACAGTTGTAGTACCTGTGGGCTACCCAGGTAAATATATCCAATAGAAAGCTAAAAATAGAAGTCTAAAACTCAGGAGAGAGGGGTCGAGTCTAGATATGGAAATCATATAGAGCACTGGTTTCTGGCTTACGAATTGTTGTGTGAAACGAGAGAGAGCACGGATGCACACATGCTATGTGTAAGCACCCGAGGAAGGCAGGAAACAAAGCTGAGAATACCGGTGGTAAAGTAGTTAAATGCTTGGGTGCAGATACAACCACCCAGGAAGAGGAAGAGGAAGCACATGGGAGGAAACCTCAAAGATAGGAAGCTGTAAAGAAGTTGTAAAGGGCGAGTGGAGAAAGAGGAGCCAGTGACAAGGACAGTTGGGGAACAAGGAGAGGCAGGAAGGCCTGGGACCTAGAAGGCAAGGGCACAGGGAGGTCCCAGAGCAACTGGGGGGGCAGCAGGGTTTCTTACTGCAGGGACAGGCTGCGGCCTGAAGTTAGGTTCCAGCTGTGAGGAAACCATTGCTGTCCACAGCGAGGGCAGTTTCGGCCAAAAGGTGGTGGCCGTGCAATCCAGATGCACCGAGTGCAGGAAGTTGAGGAAGTGAACATAGCAAATACAGGTTACTCTTTCCAGGAAGTTAGTTGGAAAGGGGAAGGAGACACATAGAGAGGTAGATTGAGAAGAAGGTAGAATCTGAAAGAAAGGTGTTCTTTCTTTAACATTGGGCAGTAAAGATGGGGAATCTTGAATAGCTGTGTTTGCTGAGGAAAAGGGACAGATGGAGGAGCAATTAAAAGCGAAGGAGCCAGTGAATGGAGCAACGTCCATTAGGAGTGGTTAGCATTGTGGAGAAGAAATTCTTGCTTTGTGGGAGCTCCGTGGGGTAGGAACCATGGTCTTATTTACCTAATATCCCTAGTAATACCTGACATTTAGTAGGCATTCAGAAAATGTTTATAAAAAATGAGCAAAGATTTTACTTTTTAGAATTAGTCTTTCCTGATTGCTGTAATAGAAGAACAACAACAAAAAATCCACAATTTGTATCCTAGAATTAACATGCTGTACTGTACTCTGTATAAGCAGTGTATTTGCGGCCTTGTGTTCTTTGAAATAAAAGGGAAAATAACAAAATGGGTAATACTGAGGTAGTAATAATCATGATCGCTTAATTTTTCTGTGCCCGATAGATATTTCTTGAATTCTGTTTCAGCATCTTGAAATGTGTTATGTTCAAGGCGCTCTGCTTGATGGGCCTGGGGTGCAGGTCAGTGGATGAGACAGATACACACATAAAGTGTCCATATAAGACAGTTTCTGTTCCATTGTTTAACAGAGGTACACTATCAGCTCCATGTCTTGGGGTTAAAATTATTGATTTTTAAAAGTTCAGAAAAAGGACATCTTTTTAATTGTTGTCTATGTCAGTTGTTGCCTACTGTAAATATTTCTAATATTAACAAAGACTGACTTTATATATATAGAGCCTTTGGTTCTGTGTCACTTGATTCTTTGAGAGTATATTTGAAAAGAACAAGTTGGTTAAGAAAGGTATAGTCAGCTCATCGCAGACCATATTTCAGGGTGCATATGGTGAGTGAGTCAGTGTGGGTTTTACTCTGCTGTGCCAGTTTCAGTGTTGTAGACCTAAAACCCAAACAAATATGTGAAGGCAGTTCTGGTTCCTATTTTCCTTCCTACTGCTTGGAAACAAGTGTACATATTGATATTCTCTCATTTTGTGTTATCTTCTCCCCCCACCCCCCTGCAATTTTACTAGAAAACGTTTTGCCTTTTTTTTGGTACTATGTCATTGCCAGTGAACTATAGTACAGAAAATGTGCCAAGCAAATCAAATTAGCATATATAGAATTCATTTATGGGGACTATAATGAATTGATTGAAACGCTGATTTATCTTTCCTCGATAAAAGTGCTTCCTTTGATGAACTGCTGTCTTGGGAATTGATTGGAACATTATTAGGCCCTCAAAGTCTTACCTCTGTGTTTTTGTTTTTTTTTAACAGTAGATGCCTGGTAGACATCTTAGACCTTTAAAAACGGAAAAGACCTGCTTTTAGGGGATAATGCTGAGGGACACTATGAAATCTTGGAATGATAGCCAGTCAGATCTCTGTAGCAGTGACCAAGAAGAGGAAGAAGAGATGATTTTTGGTGAAAATGAAGATGATTTGGAAGAGATGATGGATTTAAGTGATCTGCCTACCTCACTTTTTGCTTGCAGTGTCCATGAAGCAGTATTTGAGGTGCAAGAGCAGAAGGTAGGCATCTATCCTACCTTTCTCTGCATTTGCTAATGTGTTGATTGTGTGTGAATTCGTGAAAACAGAGCAGATGGCTGCCCCTTTGCAAAGTTTGTGACTGTTCCATGACAAGTACAGAAAGCCGTCATCAACCTTTACACATTCCTGCAGCATTTTCATTGTATTTTACAAGAGTAATCAGTCTGCAACAGAGAGAAATATTTAAAAGCCAATCCTTCCCCACATATATTTTGAGAAGCACTGGTTTATAGTGAATTCTGAATCAGATCTTATTAAGTACATTCATTCATTTATTCATTTTTGGAGCCTACTGTAGTTAAGAAAAAGCTAGTGATTTTTAGCGTGGCTTCCTATTACTTGGGAGTAAATTCACAAAAGGAGGAATTAATTTAAGTGTTTTCCTGGGGTTAATTACATAATTAGGACTGTTTATGATTTCATTGTAACAGAATTGTTAACATTTCTTGTTTTACTTTCTACAGTTTGGGACAAAATGATTGAGTTTTTTTGTTTGTTTTTTAAGATTTTATTATTGGGGAATTGGGGGTGGGGAACAGACAAGTTGCTGTCCTTTTGTTCTTCAGTCTGGTTGTGGAGGAAGTCGCTTCACTGGCCCATGTTGGTATTATCATTGCGCTCTTCCAAGGTGAGGCAGTCGCTCACTGGCCATTTGACGGCCGCTCACAGTGGCTCATGGCAGCTCACGAAAGCACACGCCTGATGCCCACCAGTCCCACTGCAGCCTATGCCATTGCTGGCGACTATGGCAGCCCAGCTTGAGGTTGAGCTGTTGTTCACCATCTCAGCTATAGAGGGTGTAGCGTTACTGGCCCTCATGTGGGATCCGAACCAGGGCCCTGCTGCTCAGAGCTGGCATCCCAAGCCAACTCCTAACCAAGGCGCCACTTGGCCAGCCCTGAGTTTATTTTTTTAAAGGTGACTCTCCTTTAGTTCATTTATTATTTACCTGGAAAGAGAGAGGTTTTGTGTGTTTATTTTTCCATCATGACTTCACAAAAGCCTATAGGTCTTAGTCCTACAAAAGTAAAATATTTCTGGCATTGGTATAAATTTTGCATGTTCTGAGATTTTTCTTTTTTTCAAAATACTGTCACCAGCACTTTAATTTTCTATCTCTGCACTCAAAGCATTTTCCTCCCAGTGACTTTCTTGAAGCCGAACTCCATATAGTTTGACTCAGTACATGCTTGAGTGCCCCCATTGGGTCAGGCACTGTGCCAGTTACTTCAGGGAACAGAGCAGGAATTTAAACAGCTTCTGCCTCAGACAGTTTACAGTAGAGATAACAAGAAATTTGATGTAAAATGGAATACTAGTGCCTTTAGAGACACTTGAAAGTACATTGGGGTGTCAGAGGAGACAGGATCCCAGCCAGCTGGAAGAAGAGGCCTGATGGGGAGATGGATTGGGGAAGAGCTGTGAGAGTTAGGTAGGAGTTTAGCAGGGAAGGGAGAGGGCATTCTGGCCAGAGGGAACAGAATGAGCAAAAGAGCCGGATCAGGAGAGTGTGGACCCCTTCAGGGAGTGGCAAGCAGCTCCGTGGCTGGTGCATAGGCGAGATGTAGCCAAAGTCAAGAGAAATGGGGCTGGAAAGGTGAGTGTGCTGCATTCTGCGAAGCTCAGGAGCTTGCCCTTCTGTGGTAAAGAATCTGAGCTGGGCCGGCCGAGTGGCGCATTAGTTAAGAACTGGCTTGGGACGCCAGAGGGCCCCGGTTCGGATCCCACATATGAGGGCCAGTGACACTGCCCTCTACGGTTCAGATGCTGAACAACAGCTCAACCTGGAGCTGGGCTAACATGGGTCGCCGGCGACGGCATGGGCTGTAGTCCCCTGCTGCAGTGGGCTGCCATAAGCTACCGTGTGTAGCCGGCAGCCAGCGTGAGCGGCCAGCAGCCGCAGTGAGCGGCCGTCCAGAAGCTGGCAACTGATCTGCCTCACCCGGGAAGAGCACAATGATGGTGTCAGCTTGGGCCAGTGAAGCAACATCCTCCACAACTAGACTGAAGAACAAAAACAACAGCACCTTCTCTGTTCCCCTTCCCCCGATTCCCCAATAAAATCTTAAAAAAAAAAAAAAAAATCTGAGCAAAGGAGTGATGATCAGAATTACAAGTTAGGAAGATCAGCTAACAACATGTGCAGGGCAGAGTGGTGGAAGGAGAGCTAGAAGCAGGGAGCCAGTTAGGAGATAATACAGACTCCTATATGCTCCTGCGGTAAACCTGCCTGGAGAGGCTGAAGACCCAAAAGTGGAACAGGGGAGAGGGAATACAGCCACCAATTGGTATCTTTTAGGGTTGGTTTTTTTTTTCCATTTACAAATGCTATTTTCTTTCCCAAATTCAGTCATTATGGAGAAATATTGAAATCATACTAATTTTCTCATACCTTCTAAGAGCTCTAAATTTTCGTATAATTACATTAACCTTGTTTATTTGTGATTGTGAGAAACCACATGTATTTCTACAATAGTTTATCATAAAATTATATTCATGAGAATTCATTCAAGAAACCTCACAATCTTATCTGTTCCAACTTTTTCTTTTTTCACTGTAGCCTAGAAACTTTTTTAACTTGACAAAGCAGTGAGTTCCTGTTGGTTTTCATTTTAAAAACTATTTGAGGTTATAGCTAACCTAAATTTCTGTTGGAAATTGTATCAGCAGAAATCCTAGTAGCAGTTCAGTGGACTTCAGGTTATATACAATTCTTAGTCATAGTAAATTTTATATAAAGCCTTAATGGTAATAACTGAAACTATGAACAGTAAAATGTTTATATAAAAAAAATTATATGAGGATCATTAATTGGATATAAAATGTGGGGAGAATCAAATGTTTCCTTTACATTTTTCTTCTCACTACCAATGTCTTATTTTGCTTCAATTTCTCCTGGAATAACCCATGTATGCAGGTCATCCACAGATGTGCAAAAAACAAAGCCCATTAAATACAATTGCAATTATAGGCTTTATTTTCAAAAGAGTTTTAGGGTTTTTTTCCCTGACTTTAAATGGTTTTTGTCTTTATAATTTTATAATTGTTGGAACGAGCCTTCACCCTCTTGTGAACAGTAGACTAAAGAACACAGGTACCATTTTCATGGATAGGTGAATCTTTGTGTTAGATTGCTAGGTTTTGGCTGTACATTTTCATCAATGTTTCTTGAAAATAGTGTATGTGAGGTGGGGGAGGAAAAGTAAAGAATATGATAAACCTTAAGAAAAATAAACTAAGGAAAAGGTTTATCTTTTTGTTTATATTTCTGCAGCAGCACAGGTGTTAGTTTTTATGCATGTGCTCAGCTATTCATTAAACACAGAGCAGGTTCAGCACCCAATTTTTCTATAACAGATTTGGACTTGTCTCAATGTGATTTTATTTACTTGTTTGTTGTTTTCAACTCCAGCTTTCCCTTTCTTAAAGTAAGGAAAAATTAAGCAGGCTTCTTATTTGAACATGAGAAGTTTTCAAAATACTGTTTAGGTTTTTATAATGTAAGAAATGGGACTGTTTTCGGTCTGTGTCTGAGAGGACTCGGTTAAATGTTAATGCAAAGTGATATTCTAGAAATGCATATGGCTTTTGGATTCTAATTCCTTCACAAGTACTGCTCTAAAACTGTCTCTGCTGACCTACTCACTCTAGAACATTTGATTTGAGTTGTTTTTCTAATGATGGTTGGGGTATATGAAGGCATCTCTGCTTGCTCTCCTGGTCCTGCTTTGTGATCAGTGACATTTAGCATCTGCTACAGGCTACAGTTCCCAGTGCAGGGTGACACCTGTTATATGTTTGTTGAATGAATGGATTCTGTGAGATGGTTGTGGAGGATTAGTGATGCAGTGCTGTGATGAAAAAACAGAATTACAAGCTGGGTGTGGGCAAGTAGTACATAGGAGATTTCATCTGAAATTACAATCTCAGATGCACTGGCCCAGATTACTTCGTGGTCTGTGTAATCAGTCATATGCACAATATAAATCTTTCTATCAAGCATTTGGTTCTACACCCTCCATTTCAAAAAGAATAGAAAATATTATTTAAGAAAATTAAATGATCTTTGGAAGTTAACTGAAGACAGATTCTCTATTTTTTTTATTTTTTATTGGGAATTGGGGAAGGGGAACAGACAAGTTGCTGTCCTTTTGTTCTTCAGTTTAGTTTGGAGGACGTCGCTTCACTGGCCCATGTTGGTATTGTGATCATTGCGCTCTTCCTGGCTGAGGCAGATCAGTCGCAGGCCATTAGACGGCTATTCACAGCAACTCACGCTGGCTGCTGGCCACTCACGGTAGCTTATGGCAGCCCACTGCAGCTTACGCCGTAGCCGGCGACTCACAGCAGCCCAGCTCCAGGTCCAGCTGTTGTTCACCATTTTAGCTGTAGAGGGCACAGCGTCACTGGCCCATGTGGGATCTGAACTGGCAGCCGTGCTGCTCAGAGCTCGCGCTACCAAGCCAACTCTTAACCAAGGAGCCACTCGGCCGTCCCTCTGATTTTTAAACTAAAGCGTTTGTGTGATTTCTGACACAACCTTTAATCTGGAAGAAGTAAATCCTTTGAGAAAAGTGATTTGTTTTAAATTTGGGAATTGAAAAAGGGGAGTCAAAGGAAGAATGTTTCTGTTACAGTGAACTGTTTTTTGCACAGTGCCTAGAACATAATAAGGTTTAAGTAAATATTTGTTTAATTGAAATCTGTAGTACATTCTGGCTACAAATAAATAGAAAGATATCTTTTGTCTGTGGACTGGAAGACTTAATATTGTTAAGATATCAATACTACTGAAAGCGATCTACAAATCCAATGCAGTCAATTCCTATCAAAATCCCAATCAATGACGTTTCTTGTAGAAATAGAAAAACTCATCCTAAAATTCATATGGACTCCCAAAAGATCCCAATGTGATACTGGCATAAAGGTAGACATATTGACTGGTGGAATAGAACAGAAACCCCAGAAATGAACCCTTG